ATTATTCTCATTGTGGAATTACATTCATTACTAATTTTGAGAGAAAAATTCAAAAACCCCAAATAAGAGGCCATCTGAAGAAAAAGGGTGTAAGTTCTGAAGTAGAAAAGGTGTCTCTATTCCCCAAAGCGGCAGTCAGTGATCAAGTAAATTTTCCTTTTTTCCATGTACACACAGTCATGTCTCTGGAACAATGTCAAATTCAAGTGGTGTAATGAAAAGGTTCCATGTACACTACAAAGGCTGTAGCTATTGTCATATGGAATTTCTTGAGTGCTATTAATGAGCTCTTATAGAAAGCAAACTGCAGGTACAAATTACGTGAAGATGGTCAAGTAATTTTACAAGCTAGCTGACATACAGCAGAGGAAACACTAAGAAAATGGATTAAAACCATTATCTTCTGCTATGTCTCAAAGAAGAACAAGCAGATTTTCCTTCTAAACACAATCTATTACAGATTTTTGAGTCTCTGAACTATCACAGTATATTTAGTAGAGAAAAACTGCTATAACAACTTATACGGTCATTCAACCTACATAATACCTTTTGTACACTTGAACTCTATCAAACTGAGATAAACTGCATAAAATATACCTGATTTTCTAATTGAATCAATCGGAGAAAGTTAGTTTCTAAGAAATTGAATCCTGATGCCTTTTAGAAAGATTTTTAACAGTTAGTCACATTTATGTGGCTTTGATGTGCCAGGCATTGTGATAACTGCTGGTGATACAAAGAAAGGTAAAAGGCAATCCCTGCTCTCAAAGAGTTCACAGTCTAATGGGAAAGACAACATACAAACGAATATGTACAAACAACGTATATACAGGATAAATTGAAAATATCAACAGATAGAAAGCACTAGAACTGAGGAGGTTTGGGAAAGGATTTCTATAGAAAGTGAGATTTTAGCTGGGACTTAAAGAAGACAGGAAGTCAGGAAAATATAACTGTGAGATCTTTCCTTACACAGGAAAATCTTTCTTGCAGAGGAGTAAGAGCATCCCAGGTATGGGAGGCAGCCAGTGAAAACATACAGCCAGGAGGTAGAGTGTCTTTTTTGAGAAACAGAAAGGAGGTCAATGTCAGTAGATCACAGAGTACATGGTGAAGTGTAGGGTACAAGAAATCTGGAAAGGTAGGGGGCAGGTTATGAAGGGCTTTGAATGCCAGGAGATTTTATGTTTGATCCTGGAAATGATAGGGAGCCACGAAAGTTTATTTAGTAGGAGGATGACATGGTCAGATCTGCTAACTAGGAAAATCACTTTGATAGTGGAGGATGAACTAGAATGGAGAGAGACTTATGTCAGGGAGACCAACAAGTATGCTATTGCAATAGTCCAGGCCATGAAGTGATAAAGGTGGTATCTGCAACAGGGTGGTAACAGCATCAGAGAGTGGGGGACGTATTGGAGAGATGACACAAAGGCAAAATTGAAAATCCCTGGCAACAGACTGGATATAGGGAGTAAGAAGGAAGAGTTGAGAAAGGCATCTATGTTGTAGGCCTGAGCGACTAGGAGGATGGTGATACCCTCAACAATAATAGGGAAGTTAGGAAGAAAGGAGGGGTTTGGGGAAAAGAAATGAGCTTGGTTTGGGGCATTTTGAGTTTGAGATGTCTACTGGACATCTAGTTCATGGGCAGTGAGAGATGTCAGACTGGAGATGAGTGGAGAGTTCAGGGGTAGAGAGATTTGATAATCATTAGCATAGAGATAACAGAATAGGGAGCTGATGAGATCACCAACTGATACAGCAGATGGAAAAGAGAAGAAGGCCTAGGATAGAGTCCTATGGGACATCCACAGTTAGCAGGCTTGACCTGGATGACGATTTAGCAAAGGAGACAAGAAGGAATGGTCAGAAAGGTAGGAGGAGAGCCAGGAGAGAAAAGTGTTATAAAAACCTAGAGAGAAATGAGTATCAAGGGAGAAGCAGGTGACTGACTCAAAGGCTACAGAGAAATCAAGAAGGATGATGATTAAGAAAAGACCATTAGATTTGGCAATTAAGAAGAGACTGTTATTATCCTGGGACAGAGTAATTTTGTATGACTGATGAGTTTGGAAGCCAGATTGAAGAGTTAAGAAGTGAGCAAGAGAAGTGGAGGCTCCCAATCCATTCCTCTTGCAACAAAGGTCTCAGTAAAAGTACCTGGAGTCTAAAGGGGGAGTAGAGGAAGTAGTCAGTAAGGGAGGATTAGCCACAACTTCTTTAGGGCAGCTGCCCCTTAAGCACTCAAACACATACCACATGGAGCAAATTCTCCTCCTTAATCTTACTTTTGTTGATGCTGACTTGAATTTTGTTTCCTTTTAAAATAGTGGATATATTTACGCAGGAATCATACTCAACATATCCTATGATTTTAGTCATTGCTTTGTGCCTACCTTGAGAAGGTCTTATACTACAACCCCAATTCCCAGGCAATACAACTCCAGTTTAGAAAACTTTGTTCTAGGGAGAAGAACTATAACAATAAGAAGGACTGTGGAGAAGCTTTAAGGTAAGAACTAGATCTAAGTGTTCAGAGCTTTGGCATCCAGCCTTGGTTTCCTAAATTTATGTCACTACCTTCCATTTATGGCCCAAGTCTTGTTGTTATTATGGCTTCCCAAAAATATCACTACATCAAAGACTCTTTGCTATATCATATAACTGCTCTAGAAAAATCTTTCTTGAAGAAGGCTGAAGTTGGAAATACGTTCTTAAATTTTTAGCCAAGTCATAACAAGGAAACACTTGGGAAAATAAGAAAAATGACTCTCATCAGATTGGCTTTAAATATGTTCTAGGCTAAATGTAGACTAGCTCAGGTTGAATATATTTCTAGGACTTCAACAAACAAACAAAACACAAATATAGTCTAGTCTCTGTACCTGGGCTTCTTCACTTTTTTTGCATTATGGACCTTTTTGGTCTTCTAGTGAAGACTATTCTCAGAACGTTTTTGAATGTATAAAACAAAATACATAGGATTATTAGAAAAACTGATTACACTGAAATATAATTATCAAAACAAAAACAAACAAATAAAAAACCTAAGTTCATAGACTCTCGGTAAGAAGCCCTACTCCATTCTTTTAAACATTTAAGACAAGTGATAGGACAGAGTTGCAGAGATCCTTCACCTTCTCAAGCTGCAGACTCCACTAAGACTCCTTGGTCTATATACTAAACTTCCAACTATACACTCTACCACATTAGCTACCATCCTCCTTCAGGCAATTATAGAAACCCTTCTTTGCACCCCCTCCCCCACATGCCCTGTCCAAGAAAATTAAAATGTAATAATATGAAGGTTGGAAAGTGTACTTTATTTGTAAACGTAAGAGAAATATTAATTACACTCATCTAGGTTCATACTATACCATACCTAGCTCCAACGCCCAATTAGGAATTTACAACTACAGAAACTACATAATTTCCTTCACAAAATGATGAGTAACTGGTTTATATTAACATTGAGACTCACAAACCTTGATGATGTTACTACTCATTGCTGAATTATTTAGAATTCAATAAATATTTTTTTATTTACAAAGTAATTTCAAATCATTATTACTATTTATTGCTAGCATAGTTAGTACAGTTTCTGATAAACTGTTCCAAAAGGAGGAGTATTTTAGATAAGATAAAAATCTAGTGAGAACTTAGAATGAGGAATGAAAATAACCATCAAAAATATAATAGAAGTAATAACTCTCTATGTGTAAAGTGGCAGGACAATGTAATTCAGTATTACTACACAAGAATAAGCAATATGTCACTGTGCAAGGAAAAACAATTACAACGGCAATGACAATAGAATATAGTTGGTACCGAAATGGTTAGAGAAACATTTCAACAAATGTGAAAAAGGAAAAAGGAATGCTTCAAGCTGATAGCTAGGGAACCAATTCCAACAACAACTCTTCCTTTAATTCATTCTTTAAGTGACAAGAATAAGATAGTACTTTTCATTTAAAACCACCAATTCAAGCACAAACATGTACCACAATAAACTCTATAGGAAAAAGAAAAGGTATTATATAAATTTAAAGGGTTCCTCTTAAGAGTATAAAATGGAGTTATCCATTTTGCCTCAGATGCAAGGATAGATATCAGATAATAATAGCTGGTATTTATGTTAAGTGCTTAAAGCGCTTACCATGATGTTTCATTTAACCCTCACAACAACACTGTAAGGTAGGTACCATTATTATTTTCATTTTTTACAGATGAGGAAACTAAGGTCCACAGAGGTTAAGTGATTTGTCCAATGTCATATAGATACTAAATGGCAGAGTGAGGACTAGAATAGATACTCTCTAAGTGCTCTCCTCTTCATCAGTTTACTTTTTTTTTAAAAAACAAGTAACTAGGTTGCCCATTAATATTTAATATTTAATAATATTGCCCATTAATATTTAATATTTAATAATATTCACTAGCTGTGTGACTCCGGACAACTCACTTAACCCTGTTTGCCTCAATTTCCTCATCTGTAAAATGAGCTGGAGAAAGCAAACCACTCCAGGATCTTTGACAAAAATACTCCAGATGGGGTCATGAGGACATGACTGAACAACAACAACTCCAGAAAATTTACTTAGCCTCTCTGTGCCTCAGTTTCCTTATCTTTCACATTAACAGTGATAGACCAGAGACATACTATTTTAATTTCCAAGGTTCTATGGATATTCACATGATATTAGATCAAATTGCTAAGACAACTACATTAAAGATATTGTGTGATGGAAATCTTTAAGGGCAAACTAAAGGTAAAATTTTAAATATGCACGTTCATTTTAACACATTTTATTTAGTAAACAAATGGTATAATGGGATGAAGAATACATCAAAGAAATCAATAATAAAGGAAAGATCTCACAGTTATATATTCACAGTTATATACTAAAAATAAAAAGGTTTTTAAAAAAATTTCATCTCCACACTGAAAAGTTGGGTGTTGGCATCAAATATATCCCCCCAAAGTTAAGTTAACTTACCTTTGGTTTTTTGATCAGCAGCCTGGAAAAAAAAACCAGAAATTCTTTAGGAATACCATATGTATGATCCACGAAGTTTATAATCAGATTTCTACTATTTCAGTAAATTTTACCTATCTTTTAATATATTGGAATTCTAACATTAAAATTTTTTTAATTGTATATATTCTATTCTAAGTGGGGAAAAAAATTCAGAATTTTTTCCTAATCTATTTTTTTAATTATCTTAAAGATACATATACTGTTGACTTATATAAGTAGTTATCCTATCAAATTATATGTGGTTGAGATACAAATAAAAAAATAACATCTTGTGAATTCATACACCATCAAATTCAAGTATAGGCTCATAATTCTAGAGCTGGAGGGACATCAGACATTAATTGGTCCTTTTATTACATAGATGAAAGCACTGAGGTCCAGGGAGGTTAAGCAGAAAGGCAGCATAGAGTAGTGAATAGAGCACTAGACTTGAAGTCAGGAAGACCTAAGTTCAAATACTACATATTCTATGCTTCACATACTAGTTGAGTAACCCTAGACAGGGCATGGTAGGTGGCATGCTGGTCCTGGAGTCTTCCAGAGTTCAAATTTGGCCTCAGACCTTCACTAGCTGTGTGACTCCGGGCAACTCACTTAATCCTGTTTACCTCAATTTCCTCATCTGTAAAATGAGCTGGAGAAAGCAAACCACTCCAGGATCTTTGACAAAAATACCCCAGATGGGGTCATGAAGAGTAGGACATGACTGAACAACAACAACTCCAGAAAATTTACTTAGCCTCTCTGTGCCTCAGTTTCCTTATCTGTAAATCTATGTACTTATCCAAGGTCATGTGCAGTTACTAAATATCAGAGCCAGGATTTGAACCTAAGTCTTCTGAATTCAAAGACAATGCTCTTTCTATTATATCACAGATATCTATTAGATTTTACTTATTCTTTGAAAACATCAAGTATTCTGCAATATAATTTATACATGGGAATGCTATAATATTTTAATAAACATATCTTGTTTCTCTGATAAGTTCATGCTCTTAAATGATCTATTTATCACTATTTAGTCATAGTTGGCTCTTGGCAAAATGTAATTTTTAACTGGAAGGGTATGGGCATCTTGTCATCACAAACAAATCAAACTTGCTCAAGATATTTCTCTAGTTGGCTGAGAAAGACTTCTGCCATCCTGAACATACTTGTGTGGTCTGAGAAGACTTCTAGGAATAAATACTTAGAACACAAACCTACTTACCACGCTATTAAGATCATAAATATTTAATCAACACATTATCACTCTAGCTAAAAACACCACCATGGTCAGCATAAAAAAGAAAAAATAAAATAAAAGGAGACATGGTACTGTAATGGCTATGATAATGCTAATGAGACACTTAATTTACCAATACATTGAATATAAGAACAATAACTCTAGCCAAACCTTTTTCTGAGCACTTTCCTTCTTTTTCTTTTCTTCCTGTTTTTTCTTTTTCTTTTCTTCCATCAAATGTTCCTCTTCTTATGTTTCTTGTTCTTTCTCCCTATTAAAAATTAAGTATAAATTTTGTTTTAATTCAGAAAGTTAATATACTGTTTTTAGCAGTTAGACAACTACAAATCATGATATTTTGTGTAAGCAATCAGTAAGTGGCTAGGAAATGAATACTTATAAAATGTAGAATATTAAGGCTCTTTCAAATAATATTTTCCAAAATGAAATCCTGCCTAACCTAACTAGTAAATACAGTAATTGCTAATAAGAGTAACAGTTCACAATCATATAGCCCTTTAAAGTCTGCAATTCATTTTACATATGTTATTTCATTTGCTTTTCAAAGGAAAAGGACAGTGTGACAAGACAGTGACAGGAAAAGGAACGGGTATATTTTTTTTATCAAACTCTATTAATGCTTTTGTCTCACAACTTCATTTTTAAATAAGGATAAGAGAGCATTTAACAAGGGTTAATGGTCAGGACTATGAGAAAATATGAGTTTTGATCCTAGTCATTACTGGTTTAATGAATAACCCAACCACAACAATGTCTTAATATTGTTATGGCAGCTGTAAAACGAGAGAAAAGTCACAGTATCATAGTGTTATTATGACAACAGAATAGGAAAAGCAGCACAACTGGGAACTATTCCAGAGGTGAATGAGGAAGATGGTTCCTTAAACCAAACTTTTAATTAAAATCCATTCATCTTAGCTCTATTTAAATTCCCTTAGTCAAAAAGTTTTTCACTTTGTGAGTAACACAATCTCATCTGGTACATTTCATGCTCATTTCTTAGGTCTCCATGCTAAACTAAGTGGGTCAAAGAAGCATGTGTGTCAGGGGGCTGGAGACAGATCTAATCACTAATTGGTCATATAAACCTTGGCTATTCCCTAGAAGGGTCAATTTTCTCTCTGATTTATTGGGAAAACAACTATTTTCCCTGCCTATCTCACAGGATTTTAAGCTTCAGATAATGTCTGTGAGATAACTCTGAAAAACTGAAGGGATTATACAAATCTAAAATTTTACTATTATCATTATTTTTATGTTTATATTTATAGTATTCTTTTAATCTTTTTTTTAAGAGGTTCAGATAGAATGAGTACTAAGAAGTATTTAGTGTTCAATGGACTATTTCTATACAAGTAGACAAAATAAGTGTTTTTTAAAAAAGGTGAATAAGTATTAATATATAAGTTTATCCTTTAGGCTCACTGACAGCAACTTCAGTACAACTTCAATAGCAGACAAGACATCAGGAATTATGTATTCATCCTCTCCCCAATGTGATTTTGATTTTTTCGGCCAGGTCTTTACACTTTGAAAGCTTTTATTTCCATCTAGCTTGAGGTACACAGTATGCTAATATCTATCAAAAACATTCTTACATTTTTTTTGTCAATGTTGTATCTGGGTGATTGTGGGAAAGAGTTGGGTCTATGACAATGATCTGGTTCCAAAAGAGCTTACTGGTCGAGCTCTGTGGATGTTCTGAGGTCTGTATTTGGAGTGTGAGATTCTGCTATCTACAATCCACGAAAAATGGCAAACTTTTGGTATTTAAGTCTAGTCATCAGGTAGTACCTTGGGATGTTATTTATTTAATAGGTGCTAAATTTATAAACAACCTCTGGTGATTTGTTTGTTCCAATTCTTCACTTTTTCCTTTATAATTTAAAATGATCACTAAATCAAGGCCCCTTAAAGATAAGGTTCATTTGAAGTTTCTAGTGGTAGTAACCTGGTCCTAAATTGCTATCAAAATAAGTCTTCAAAACGAATCCAGCCTCAGATACTTGACACTTACTAAATCAACTGCCTCACAAAAAAAATAAAAAAAACAAGCCCTTATGTTTCCAGAAACAAATTTGCTTACTCAGCCATGGCAAAGCTTCTTTGTAGACACACTGTTGGCTTCGCTGACATGAACACTGCCCAACAGGGGTCACTGATTCCATTCTTGGATCATAGTTGTTTTGTGGGCTCTATCCAGAAGTAAGCAATTTTTGGTTTTGGGACAACTTCGGATTTGGGACAAATCCAATGGCATGTACATGTTATCAGCCCTCACTATTGCTCACTGTATTGATATCTACTTATTCCAAAAATATTTCTGTAAGTTTTTAAACTGCTTATTGTGTGCTCTAAGGATGTCTATCAATCCTCTTTCTCCTTTTTAGCATAGAAGTGTTAATCTTTATATAGCTGCCTTAAGGTGGCAGGTGCTATGCTTGAGAGATTTTTATTAGGATAACTCTCCATTTTTGTTACAGTCCATCTTATAATTCCAAATGTATATGTTAAGACTGGTATTGCATATATAGTAAATGTTTTAAGTGATGATGATGATGATGATGATGATGAAAGGAAAGAATAGGGCTGAATGGAACCCAGATGTACCCAAGCAGATGGGCAGGTAGTGCAGCTTAGGAAAACTAAATCAGGAGGCAAGTAACCTATGAGGGGAAAAAGGGTCAAATTTTCTAAGGTCAGAGACCAAAGAATCTTAACCTTGGAAGGAATATTTTGTATCATGGACCTCTGACAGTCTGGTGAAGCCTATGGACCTCTCAGAACTTAAATGCATTAAATACATAGGATTACAAAGAAAACTAAAGGTTAGTGAAAATAAATTTTCATGGACCCCCTGAAGTCCATCCGTGGAATCCCAGGTTAAGAGCTCCTCATTTAGTCCCATCTTCCAATCCATGTGAGTATCCCTTTTATGATAGTCTTAGCAGAATGCTATCTACTTCTGCTTGAATACTTCCTGTGATGGGGAAACTTTCCATCTCTCAGGGCAGCCTGTAACTTTCTTGGACACCCTTTCATTGCAATAATAGATTGACAAGGGGTCTAAAAACTGGAAAAGGAATGAAACAAAAAAGAATAGCTGAAGAGACTGTTTAATGCTTTATATCCATATATTACTAAGATGAGTCTATATTATATCAACTGGGTATAGATTATATCCTGAAATTCTCTAGAGTAATGCAATCCAATTTGAACAAGAATTTGTTAATCACCTACTATGTATGAGTTATTGGGCTAGTTGCTAATGATACAAAATGAAAAAAGTTACTTTCTTCAAGAAGCTTATATTTTTGGTAAGTTCCAGAATACAGCATGGAATCGCATGTTACATAGAGGGCTAGTTCCAAAGTCAGCAAATAATACAAAATTGTATGTTTAAAATTATCCTCTCTCTATAGCAGGTCTCTAAGGTGATAAGCATCTGTCATATTACATATAGTTAGAATAAGTCAGCAAACTAGATCTGCAACTTTAGGAAAAGGATTGGCTTAAAAGGCTGGGATACAAAAATACACACCAATTTATTAAGGGCTCGACTGCTTGAAAAAGCTATGTTCACTCTTCAGAAATTACCTGAAAATTTCCTTAATGATCTTTGCTTTCCTAAGTTCACTGATCTATACCAGCAGCTACTTTGCAAACTAAAGAGAACAAATTATTAATCAGTCATCAAATACAAGAAAAAAAACCCCTCAATTAATTAGGACCCAATTATCAAAACCCTTAAAAAACTATAACCCTCCCACCCTAGTAGCATTCATTTAAAAAAAAATGACATGACCAAATAGTATTTATTGCTTGAATCCACAAATCATGGTGGTGGGAAGCAAAAGAACATGCGTGAAACCCCAAAGGTTTGTAGTGGTTGATCTTCAGAATTTCAATGCCAAACAATGAATTTTGTAAGCAATTAGGAGAAAGGATACCAGCTCTGAAAAAACCTTGGTTTGAATAAACCAAGATTATTCCTAGCCATAAAAAAAAATAATCAGAGAAGAAAATAAAACAGATTAACTTAAAAAGCAAAGGAACTCAAGATGCAAACCAAAGTGTCATACCCTGCAGAGCTGATCTTAAAAATCAATAGAGAAAAAAATAAAACTTTCAACAAAAAAAGTCATTTAAAGCCTTCCTACCAAAACCAAAAAGCAAAAATCAATGAAGAGAAGGAATTTGGTTTGCAAAAACTTCAAACAAAAGAAATACAAGAAAGGTAGATAAGTTATAACTATCAAGAAAAAGTGAGAGGTAGCAGGGCATAGAAATACATGGCCTTACAATCAAAAGACCTGAGCTCAAGCCAATGGCTGTTATGATATTGGGCAAGTGATTTAACCTCTCAGTGTTCCAGGTAATTTTATATGACCAAAATTTGTAAAAAGTTGCCTATCTACATTGTTAGAAGAAATTTCTTACTTAGACATTCCCCACACTAATGAAATCAGGTCCTCTGTGAAATAAAAGGTTTTCTCCCCATGTCTCTAAGAGAGAAATTGAAAGCAAGGTAGAGAAGGGGAGATGTAGAGAGGGCAGTGGGAAGGAGGGAAAGAAAAAAGAGCATCAAGAGGATAAGTATCTAAAACTTTACAGTTTTAAAGTGATCTTTTTTGGGGGGGGCAAAGCAATTGGGGTCAAGTGACTCACCCAGGGTCACATAGCTAGTACGTGTTGTATCTGAGGTCGAATTTAAACTCAGGTCCTCCTCACTTTAGGGCTGGTGCTCTATCCACTGTGCCACCTACCTGCCCCTAAAGTGATCTTTTATGGAGGTGATCATACTTGGAAGTTGTTTAAGTGAGGAAAAAGGAAACAAGAAACAGAGGGAAAATGGAGTTGGGCAAATGGAGTTGGGCTCCTGCCAAGCTTGGAGGTAAGCAACTAAAAGACAATAATTTCTTCTGGTTCTAAATAAGTGTGGGAGAAAATGGGAGGGTAGAGTAAGAGCAATGGAAGGGAAGGAATAGACAGAAGGACAATGGAAGGAAGGTATTGCTTGAGAAAGGAAAGTGAAAGAATGCCATCAAAAAACATTTTCAAGATGAAAGGGGAGGCTTCATTTTTATACTATCAGGCTGAATTTTTACTAGGAATTGTTCAATATTGGGAAAACTATAAGTATAATCAACCATGTCAATAATAAAAACAACAA